ATGAATGCTGTCAATTGTTTCAGCCATATTTAGTCAATTTCATTATACACGTACTAAATAACTTTTACTAAGTATAAGCCTTTCACCTGGCCATGCACGTAGCCAAACAGTGTCACATGCAAGGTTTACAAGTCAACGAAGATTATCTTTTGGCCTGAACGCATGCCCACCGGCCCGATGCCCCCACTGGAACTGTACAAAGCAGTATGAACAACGAGATAGCACGAGGCGTTGTCTTCGTGAAGAATCCTAGGCCGTAGGCACTTGAAAAAGAAAAAAGGACCGCAACCAAATTCGATATTGTACTACACCGATCCACACTAATTAGCGTGCACAGTATATATCTCGGAGGTTCCATAACGTGCAAACTCTCTGATTAATCGGCGCCATAGCTCTCCAGTACCATGTACACAGGCGCCGGGGCCCGTGGTCATGGTCATTTCCTGCCACACTTCCAATCTGCCTCGAGTCGTACGCAAGTTTGGTGCTCCGTCACATCAAAACAAACCGGTGAAAGATCGACCGACGGGGTCCAGGATCATGGGGATCAAAGGTACGATCGACCTGATGCAGGTGATGGCCATCCTGTTTCTCCCTCATCCGATGCCTTGCATCGACCAGGGAGCGCAAAGCTTTGTACTTCATCGACCTGATGCTTTGCACGTCAATGCTTACAAATTGGACCACTAATCTTCGTAAAAGCGTATGAGTTTAGCATGTACAAATGGTATGATTCTGCCTAGCTTGTAAATACTTTTACCTCGTGTGTTCTTTCACACTAATTCTGTAAGCGTTCTATATGTGAGATTTGTAGTCAAAGTATTCCTCACAAAAACAAAAAAGAAATTGTCGTCAAAGACTCAAAGTCATGAGCTTAGGTGCCAAATGTTGGAATATACAGCATCATTTCTTGTATAAAATTTGGTGGCATGAGCTTCATGTATATGTATGCAAAAATTGTGGCGAACACATCATATTGCATGGTTTTTTTTTCGATAAAGGACTTTTCATTGAATAGATATATCGAGCTGATACAATCATATTGAAAGAAAGCCCGGCCTCTGCATAGCTAGATGCACACAGCCAAAACGTCCAGAACACTCTAAAAATAAAATAATTTGATACAATGCCAAGCAATAAATCGTGTCCAGCCTAAGGAGCGGTAGATCTTATCCGTAAATCACACCGCCATCCATGGGGGTAGAAAACCTCCCTGGCCGTACGCTCCAGCCGGGTAGACGCCATCATAAAAAGGTCTCTGTCCTCCGGCTTCTGCAGGATAGACCACATACGGAGCAATCGTGTACAAGCATGAATAACCTTCGAAGTCGAGGTTACGAGCAGCAGTCCTACGCATGGCCTTCACCATAGAATCCTCGTCGGTGGCGAACACATCATATTGCATGGTTACGGGCCGTGAGGAATGATCACACCTCCACCAGTAATGGGGAGGTCCAAACTCCCTTCTCTTCGCCGCTTTGGTTTCTCTCCCCTTCGGTAGGAGTGGTGCTTGTTGTGTGGTGGTGCGATATCTTTCATCACACCGGGATCTGCCTTGCTCGGTGACGGGTAGGTAGACGTCTCGATGCAATGAAGGTTTTTTTGACGGCATTTGTGTGGTGCGTAGGCGTGTTTGGTGATATGCTTGTTGTGGTTTCCGTGGCTTTGACAATGGTTGGTGCTTCGTACCTCTGTGTCTAGGTTTCGTCCAATTATTTCTGATTAGCAATGTTGTCTTCTATGTGGAATTGCAGGAACCCCTGCCGATTTTGAGATGACAGTGGATAAAGAGAAGATGGTCATACCAACACAAACGTTGATGTGATGTGAAGAAAAAAAAACCACAATCGTTGATGCTACTGTCCAACTTAACTGCCTTCAAATGAGAGCAAGCCTACTCTAGTAGCAGTAATTAACTTATTACCCAAACAAAGTCAATTAGAATAAATCCCAGTCTCTCCTTCGTGCAAAGCAAAGATAATTATATTGACGTTGATTCATATAGAGTCCATGCAACACATGCAATTGCATTTGCATACACCGCGGGAAGTGAAACAAAATGTCTACAAGTCGAAGAAGAAAGCGATTTTTTTCACTTGGACAGACAGCACTTGCACGAATGCATGGGCGCTCGCTTCCACCAAACGAAACAACATCAAACATGTCACACGCACTTGAAGCCGTCGGGGATCTCCTTCTTGCAGGCGCTGGCGAGGAGCTCGACGCCGACGGACCACTCGGCGGAGACGAGGCCGAGCACGCCTTCCTTGGCGGCGATGCAGAGGCACGAGGCCGCCTCCGCCGCGGCGAGCCCGCCCACGAGCTGGCAGCACTCGCTTCCGAGCTGCGCGCCGGCCTGCGCGTCCGCGAGGCCGAGCACGGCCGCGCACGCGCCGAACTTGACGGCCTCCCACGGGCAGAACGGGTCGGCCGGGAGGCCCTTGGTCCACAGCACCCTGGGTGGCGCGCCGCCGTGTAACGCGGCGGCGGTGGAGAGCGTCGCCGCGGCGAGGAGGAGCGCGAGGACTGACACGGTGGTGCCGTGGTGAGCCATTCTTGCGCTCTGGCCGTGGCTTTACTTTGCCGTACGACCTTGCCACGCGTGCTAAGCTAGTGTGCTACGCACATTTCCGTGCTTTTTTTATACTGCTACGTACGGCCGTGCCTAAGAAAACAGTATATTTTGCGACGGACATACAGGCCCAAAGTTCCTTATCGATTTACTTTTACAGTGTACATGATGTGTGTTCGGCATTGCTTACACCTGTGAGGGCAGCTGTGACATGATCCTGAATGTGATGATCGATATCCGCTCGCCTAGAATGACGAGTCAATTACACCATTGGTGTCACAACTTGGCATGAAAAGTCAGCTTAGTGCTAAAAACTTGCGGCATACATTGAACTGATGCTATAACTTGGCTTTAACGTGCATATACGGTGCAAATCACGTTTCTATACGAATAGAGGGCTGATTAGGCATGCCAACGTGGCATGGGACCCGCTGTCAGCGACTGGACGGCAAAGTGGACGTGTGGCCTGCTATTTTGCAAAAAAAAAACCTTGAAATTCTTTTGTCACAAAAAAATACTATGCCACGGCCACAAGGGTCGATTTGCCAGCTTCCCACAAATAAATGAAAAAATGGTATGTGTGAGGACTCGAACAAGTGGCCCGTAGACAGCAGCACTTGTCAGCTTCTCACAAATAAATGACAAAATGGTACGTGCGAGGACTCGAAAAGATGGCCTGTAGACAGCAGCAGCGCAAGGCTAACCACCTGAGTTTCAGGCATTTTATGTAATAGCTGGATGCTGCTGCTATATATTCTTTGACTATTAAGCAGGCTGCAGTCCCTACATCCCATTTTTTTTCTGTTAGCATTTCTTCTTTTAGAATTTATAAAAAAATATTTTATCTCAATAAATGCTAATATAAGTTTAGAATGTTCATGATTTAAATAAAAAATATGTAGTATATAAAAGTGTCCATTGTTATTTTTAACTGTATTTATTTTAGCACACAGTTACAATTTACATGCATTTTAGTTTTTTTAACAAAAATAAGAGTGTAAAATGGGTCGCTAGTAGTCTAGCCGACTTAAGTCAGAATGATTATATGAGTTACGTAAATGATGTTTGTTGTATTCATTTGGTCGGCGGCACTGCAGGCGTCAGGTCATGTAATCGAATCCCAGGGTGACAACTTCTGCACAACACTAGCCTCCATCTCTGAGAAAAATATTGGCCCCTGATAGGGGTTTTTCATGTGATTTTTTTCCCGCAAAATAGCAGGCACACGTCGTCCAATCGCTGATAGCGGGTCACATGCCACGTTGGCACGCCTAATCAGCACCGTATTCGTATGAAAACATGATTTGCACTGTATATGCACGTCAAAACCAAGTTGTAGCACCAGTCCAATGTATGCCGCAAGTTTTAGCACTAATCTGACTTTTTACGTCAAGTTGTGACACCAGTGGTGTAATTGACTCCTGGAATGACTGGCAAGGATGCAGGGCAGCTCCGGCCGGCCGGCGGGTGGTCCATCCATCCATGCATGGCCGCGTCCCGGGCGATGGTACGTGAGCCAACCAGCGAATGCCGTATGGGGTATGGGCATTTTCTCCATGAATGCGCTGCGTACGTACGTTCGTTGGGAGCTCATGCATGTGACGATGGGATGGCTTCATCGAAGGGAACAAGGCAGGCACAGGGAGACGGCGGGGCCGCATGCATGCATGCATGCCGCCAATGGCGCCAGGGTCGCCTTAGCTAGCTAGCGTGTTGCTTCTGCCTTTGGTCAGGATCCCCGATGAGCAGCGCAGATCTGTAGTTTTTGTGTGGAGCAAGCAGGGCAGAAGAGTTCCGATCGATGGGGATACGATCTGCTCGTCAATGGCTCCATGCGTGCCATGCCCGCCCATGTGCTAGGCCAGCAGCTGGTGATAGCTCCAGCGGCAGGCGCTACGACCAAGGTCAGTCCATGTCCATGACAGTAAAGCAACAGCAGCAGAGGGTAGCTGCTCGCGCCAGCCAGCCCCCCGGCCCGCTTGCAGACAGCTAGCCTGCCAAAGTGCCAAGTTCAACTTGGGAGCCTGCCTCGGCCGGGGTTGGTTCACGACGCTACACACGCCGGCGTGCCCTTCGTTCTGTCAGCAGAGACCACTGCGCCGCGGTCACGGCCACCGGCCGGCAGACCAGCACAGGGGTCGAACCAAGTAAATAACTGCGCAACTGGGTAACTGAAGATCATGCCGTCCGTCGTATACATACATACATACATTTGCTCGCATGATCTTCAACCCTTCCATTTACAGTGCGAGTAAATGTACCATGTGTGTGTAATCAACTCTTGTATTTACACGCAAGTTGTCCTCAACCCTTCCATTTACACACCGTGCATCTGAACTGTACAATTTTATATATGACGTACGTATATACCAACTGATCAACCACATCTTTAACCTTGTATGTATGATGACCTCCTTCAATGGATAGACTAATACAGGAAGGAATTCAGGGCCGCCACCACCTTCTCTGGCCTGCATGGCACAAACCGCGTCAGTGACCAGCACAAGCATGATCTACTCCCTCTATCCCATAATATAGGACGTTTTTTGACACTAGTATAGTGTTAAAAAACGTCTTACATTATGGGACAAAGGGAGTAGTATAACGCGTCTAGACTAGATTGAATGTTAGCAAACAGTGTATGATACCCGTGTACCGTGATTTTCAGAAATTGGATAATAATCTACATGAATAATACTCGTGGCAGTGGCACGGATGCATCCTTTTTGCACCGGGGTGGTTTTGTTGTTTTCGTTCCGAAAAAGAACTACTACATGAATACTGTAATAAAGTGTAGGTGGAGGAGCAGGACACAAATCGACTGAATTTACTCTGCCACACAGAAGCAATTACCAGTCCTCCTGCGGCATGTGGCCAGCTCCTTCGATGGGCTTCAGTTTCACCACTGATGGATTGTTTTTCTTGAACTCCTCGGCTATCGAGAGCGGTAGGTACTTGTCCGACTCCCCCCATGCCAGCAATATTGGTTTGTCCCAGCTGCAGGAAATTGCCCAGAAGATGGTTTCAGCACAGCAAAAACGTTCCATAATTAATTTGCCTGTCTGATAGTAATATTGGGTGCATGTGTTAAGACTTCAAAATGACTAGTGAGTGACACTAGAGCTTACTACACCAAGCCTTGCGTAAAGACACACCCTGTCTGTTTTAATTAATTGTTTGGAGGATAAGTCTACCTGTTGGATGAAAATCCAGCCGAAATTTTGCTTAATACCTCTTGAAAATTGGCCTTCCTGGCAGTTTCAAGTAATGCTAAAAAACCAAAAGATATACAAGAGTGAGATGTTAAGATTGCCAAACAAATCCGAAGAAGTAATTTGGAAGCCCAACTGAAACATTATACTCCCTCCGTCCCAAAATAAATGTCTCAAGCTTAGTACAATTTTGTACTAAAGCTAGTACAAAGTTGAGACACTTATTTTGGGACCAAGGGAGTAATATAGTAAGTGTAAGATTTTGCATCGAGTGGGATTCTATTTGTTTTATTCTCCCAATGAAGCACATCCTTCATTGAAAACACATATCCCTCTGTACCGAAATACTTGTAGTTGGGGGAAACTAGTTCAAGTTCCCCCAACTACAAGTATTTCGGCACAGAGGGAGTATTAAATTGTATGAAATAAAAATGCATATGCAAAGAGGAAAGTGCTTGCATAAGATAGTCTCGAAGAGCTATGACTACCTTTCCTTGGATAAGTGAGCTTTCCAGATAGCATGATAGTTGGTTAATATGCATAGATATATCGTGAAGACAATTTCCCAAGGGGAAGACATGAGTTAATATAGTTATGGCTTATGAGTCATTATGATGCATGACTTGAGGAGATTTAAAGGTACCAAAGCATGTTTAAATAATGTGTGGCATCCAATGTAAAACTTGTATTCCTTTTCTCGGCAACAATAGATTCTCTGGTTTGGTAATTTAAATTTCTTTTCATGCCTAGAGACAATAGAAAGTGAACATAAGAAAATCAGGAGACTGCGAGTAAGGACAAACCAAATCCAGGTGCACCACTTGATAAATACGGCAATCTGTATACGTCAGCCTTCTCTGACTTCAGCACGTACCTGTCATACAAAATGGGGTTCAAATGCAAATTTCTCACCTGGAGGTACTGATGGTACACTGCTACAGAGTTACTGATGGTATGAACACAAAATAGCATCATTTTGAGAATAAACGGAAGTTATTCTCTTGTTTCAAGCAGCATGCACTTCTGCAGGAAATAAAGAGTGCTGGTGCTAACAAAACTGGCATGGTATAATAAACAGAGTTTCTGCGACAAGGATACATACGGGCTACCTGCTTCAATGAATCTCTCAGCCAGGATAGCATTTTGGCAGGTAAATTCGCCCACAAGTGGAAATCTGCATTAAAAAGATTCCCTCAGTTCACATACATAAGTATAAACTTACAGGCAAAAAAAGAATATTAACTAAAATATTAGTGAAAAATAAGAAAAATCAAGGTGAAATAAACATCTATAGCATTTATCTATAGCACCACCAGCTTGCCAAAAATATATTTTGGACTGAAAAGTGAAACCACTGGGCGAAATAAATATCATCACACTGTACCCAAAATAAGACGCAATAGATGAAAGAGTTCAGTTTAAAAACAAAAAAGATATGGCAGCAATGGAGCATGTGTGTGTGTTCCAAGTCAATTTAGTTGGGAATTTCAGCTGTTTAAATGTTTGGAATCATAGTTTTGAAATCTACCGAAGCACGCTGGTTGAATTTACAACAACTAGAATTAGGGAACGAAGAGAAGCATAAGTAGCTGACCTGAGCTGCTTAAAGACTCCAGGCACTGGAGAAGAAACAGTAAGTGGGCTGTTAAGGATTGCTACCTTAAGAAGTTTGTTTGAGTTCTTCAATGCCCATGTCAGACCATAAGAACCTACAAGAAATCCCTACAAAGAAATGAATGAAATGATTCAGACAGTCCGTATGAGAACTTCCATGGCAAGGATTTTCTGAAATCTTCCAAATGTGTACCTGGACAACTAAGAAGAATGGTTCAGTGATATTTAGAGTAACAAGAAGTTCATCAAATGCCTTGTGGAACTCCTCTTCTACAAATGGTAGAACATACATGTGTCTTTGGTTAGTTTTATAGACACATTTGTACCAGGAATTCCTTTTCTAAAAAAAATTGTACCAGGAATTTCACAGACATTTCATCACCTTTGAAATCGAATCCATATCCAGGCTGTGGCATCTCACTGAACCCAAATCCTATCCAGTCAGGCGCAAAGCAATGGTAGCCAGCATCTGCCATCTAGTAAGATCAATAGGTGCTTAGAGGCTGGAATGGTTGGTTGCAACAAAAACATGTAGCTATCTTTATAAGTGACCAGTTCAAATATTATTAATGTTATTTTTAAGAAGGCAAAATAAGAAGGGCTAGTTGTTTCATACTAAGGTATAGAATACGTGGTCAATGAAGCTAACCTGAGCCATAACCGTGCGATAACTAAATGACTGAGTTGGAGCACCGTGAAGAAACATAATAGTCCCACGCCGTGAATCAGGAGAACCTACAATCGCAATGCGAATTGTATGAAAACTAACCATTAGATGAGGATTGTGTTTACAGAACATGGAACAAATATTCTGATGATCCTTATATACTGAAGAACATGACGCAGCACACACACACACACACCACACAACCTAAAACATCAATTTTATAGCAGCAGCAACAAGCTTTGTTCTCGTGTTTACTATCAAAAGTGAGGATACATCATACATAAATTGCAATGAAATATCCAACACTTGTTTGGAGAGACTTTCAGTTCCCCAAAGGTCTGCCACACTTGTTCATAAATATAAAATGTGGTTCCAATTGGCATTCACAGTTGCACTATGTACCCTCGCCCCGTCAAACACAATGTTACCGCACGAAAATCATCTCAGCAACCCGAAGATGAAGAAGCAAATTACCTGTTTGCCTCACGAACCATCGAAACTCCCCTGATCTCACGCTCTTGCCGTACTCCCTCCCTTTGTCCTCCGTCCTCTGCACGCAACAATGTACGAGTATGTAGGATCAGTCATCAGCAGCTCAAAAGCACAGCAAGATGGATCAGGCGAGAGGAACGGGCAGGTCGGCATTACGTAGAGCATCTGGCCGACATTGCCGTCCTGGGCGGGCGACGCGGGCAGCTGGATGGCGCTGCGGCTCGACGGGTTGTCCGTGACGAACCCGAACGGGTTGAACGCCGGCTCCCCCTCCTCCTCCTCCCCCGCCTCGGCCTTCTCGTCCTTGCTGCTGCTGCTCGCCGCGACTACTGCGCACGCGCCTCTCCGCCGTGTCCAGCCGCTCCGCGGGCCGCGCGAGGAGTGGAAGGCGACGGTGCTGCGCCTGGAGGCGGCGGCGACGGAACTGGGAGGGGGCAGGAGGGAGAGTGGAGAGTAGGAGGCGGAGGTGGAGGTGGAGCAGGGGCAGCCGGACATGGCGGCGGCGGCGGTGGCTGCTGCCTGGATCGATGGGGGTGCCAGCGGCTGGTGGTGGAGTCCGGCGGAATGTGGCCGCGAGGCGAAATGCTTCGGTTGGCTCAGCGGCGCCGCGGCCCGCGAGCCACGGGAGCGAAGATTCTCCGGATTACCGTGGGCCCGCCTGTCGGTAGGGACCGCCCCTCCATTTCTTTTTCAAATCATAAAAATCTGACGTCAGCGTGTGCCGTCCGAACGACTGCGAGAATCTTGATGCACTGGGCCTTTCCTCTCAACCGCTCAATATCCAGCACCAATTTCCCGGTCCACGACCACCAAACTAGTGAAAAATAGTAACGCTATTTGAGGGCGCAGCTACGCGTCCGCCGGCGGATGTGTTAGAAACATCCACCGCCCGAAGAGTCATTGGATTAGATACCTAACAACCGCCGGATGCAATCATCATGCGCAACTAACCAGATCATTACTTCCTACAACGACAGTTTTGTTTCAGAAATAGAATCCCTTGTCCGCCATCCAGACATAGCTGCGCGTAGCGCGGAGCCAGTCCCCACCACCGCAAAATCATCGCCGCCGGCGCGGGCCAGCTAGTCCTGCAGCGCAAAAACCTGCAACAACATGGCGCATCACATCACGAGGCAGATGCTGGGATCCGACGCAGATCGAGCTTGCCGGGGCCGCTGCTTCGAGGACAGTCGTGGCCAACGTTCTCAGATCCGACCGCCGCCGAGGGTGTTGAGGGAGTCCTGGACTAAGGGGTCCTCGGCCGTCCGGTCTATTGGATATGGGCCGGACTAATGGGCCGTCAAGATACAAGATAGAAGATCACCTCTTGTGTCTGGTAGGGTCTCCCGTATACGTGGACGGCAAGTTTAGGTGTCCAGATATACTATTTCATTTCTGTTAAACCGACTTTGTACAACCCTAAGCCCCTCAGGTATCTATATAAACCGGAGGGTTAGATCGAAGGCAGGATCACAACATTGATAGGCTAGCTAAGCTAGGGTTTATCCATTACGATCTCGAGGTAGATCAACTCTTGTAACCCTGCTACCTCTTAAGCACTGCGTTGGTTTTCCCTTGAAGAGGAAAAAGTGATGCAACAAAGTAGTATTTCCCTTAGTTTTTGCGAACCAAGGTATCAATCCAGTAGGAGGCTCCTCAAAAGCCCCTCGTACCTACACAAACAAACAAGAACCTCACAACCAACACGATAAAGGGGTTGTCAATCCCTTCACGGTAACTTACGAAAGTGAGATCTAATAGAGATAATAAGATAAGATAAATATTTTTGGTATTTTTATGATATATATTGGAAAGTAAAGATGCAAATAAAAATAGACAGAAAACTTATATGATAAAAGATAGACCCCGGGGCCATAGGTTTCACTAGTGGCTTCTCTCAAGATAGCATAAGTATTACGGTGGGTGTACAAATTACTGTTGAGCAATTGATAGGAAAGTGCATAGTTCTAAGAATATCTAGGCATGATCATGTATATAGGCATCACGTCCGCAACAAGTAGATCAAAACGATTCTGCATCTACTACCATTACTCTACACATCGATCGACTCCTGCCTGTATCTAGAGTATTAAGTTCATAAGAATAGAGTAACACATTAAGAAAGATGACATGATGTAGAGGGATAAAATCAAGCAATATGATATAAACCCCATCTTTTTATCCTCGATGGCAACAATACAATATGTGCCTTGCTGGCCCTGCTGTCACTGGGAAAGGACACCGCAAGATTAAACCCAAAGCTAAGCACTTCTCGCTGTGCAAGAAAGATCAATCTAGTAGGCCAAACCAAACTGATAATTCAAAGAGACTTGCAAAGATAACCAATCACACATAAAAGAATTCATAGGAGATTCAATTATTTCTCATAGATAAACTTGATCATAAACCCACAATTCATCGGATCTCGATAAATACACCGCAAAAAAGAGTTACATCAAATAGATCTCCAAGAAGATCCAGGAGAACTTTGTATTGAGATTCAAAGAGAGAGATGGACCCGAAGGTTTGTAATAAACTACTCACAACTCATCGGAGAGGCCTTGGAGATGATGTAGAGGCCCTCCGTGGTCGATTCCCCTCCGGCGGAGCGCCGGCGAAGGCTCCAAGATGGGATCTCGCGAATACAGAAGGTTGCGGCGGTGGAAATAGTTTTTCGTTGTGCTCCTGAATGTTTTCAGGGTACGTGGATATATATAGGCGAAGGAGGTAGGTCGGGGGAGCCACGAGGGACCCACGAGGGTGGGGGGCACGCCCACCCTCCTAGGGTGCGCCCTCCTGCCTCGTGGCTGCCTCGGCTGCTTCTTGACGTCTACTCCATGTCTCCTGGATTGCGTTTGTTCCAAAAAGATCGCTCCCGAAGGTTTCATTCCATTTGGACTCCGTTTGATATTCCTTTTCTTCGAAACATTGAAATAGAAAAAAAAACAGTAATTCGGGCTGGGCCTTCGGTTAGTAGGTTAGTCCATAAACATCCAAAACGGGTAATATAATAGCATGGAACAATAAAAAATTATAGATACATTGGAGACGTATCAAGCATGCCCAAGCTTAATTCCTGCTCGTCATCGAGTAGGTAAATGATAAAAATAGAATTTTTGATGTGGAATGCTACCTAGCATAATTCTCAATGTAATTTTCTTTATTGTGGCATGATTGTTCAGATCCAAATGATTTAAGCTAAAAGCTCATAAAACATAAAAATAGTAATACTTCAAGCATACTAACAAGTAATCATGTCTTATCAAAATAGCATAGCCAAAGAAAGCTTATCCCTACAAAATCATATAGTTAGGCCATGCTTCATTTTCATCACACAAAATACTCCCATCATGCACAACCCCGGTTTCAGCCAAGCAATTGGTTCATAATTTTTAACGCGCTTCAGCTTTTTCAACTCTTACGCAATACATGAGCGCAAGCCATGGACATAGCACTATATGTGGAATAGGATGGTGGTTGTGAAGACAAAAAGGGAGAAGATAGTATCACATCAACTAGGCGTATCAACGGGCTATGGAGATGCCCATTAATAGATATCAATGTGAGTGAGTAGGGATTGCCATGCAACGGATGCACTAGAGCTATAAATATATGAAAGCTCAACAAAAGAAACTAAGTGGGTGTGCATCCAACTTGCTTGCTCACGAAGACCTAGGGCATTTTGAGGAAGCCCATCATTGGAATATACAAGCCAAGTTTTATGAAAGTGACAACGTAGGAGACTCTCTATCATGAAGATCATGGTGCTACTTTGAAGCACAAGTGTGGAAAAAAAGATAGTAGCATTGTCCCTTCTCTCTTTTCTCTCATTTTTTTCTTTTTTTATTTGGTGGGCTTCTTTGGCCTCTTTTTTTTATTTGGGCTTCTTTGGCCTCTTTTATTTTTTTATAAAGTCTGAAGTCTCATCCCAACTTGTGGGGGAATCATAGGCTTCATCATCCTTTCCTCACTTGGGACAATGCTCTAATAATGAAGATCATCACACTTTTATTGATTTATAACTCAAGAATTACAACTCAATACTTAGAACAAAATATGACTCTATGTGAATGCCTCCGGCGGTGTACCGGGATATGCAATGAATCAAGAGCGACATGTATGAAAAATTATGAAGGTGGCCTTGCCACAAATACAATGCCAACTACATGATCATGCAAAGAGCAATATGACAATGATGGGGTGTGTCATAATAAACGGAATGGTGGAAAGTTGCATGGCAATATATCACGGAATGGCTATGGAAATGCCATAATAGGTAGGTATGGTGGCTGTTTTGAGGAAGGTAAATAATGGGTGCATGATACCGGCGAAAGTTGCGCGACATAATGGAGGCTAGCAATGGTGGAAGGGTGAGAGTGCGTATAATCCATGGACTCATATTAGTCATAAAGAACTCATATACTTATTGCAAAAGTCTACTTGCCCTTGAAGCAAAGTACTACTACGCATGCTCCTAGAGGGAAGGGTTGGTAGGAGTTAACCATCGCGCGATCCCGACCTCCACACATAAGGAAGACAATTAAAAGAGCACCCCATACAACAAATTTGTCACATAACTTTTACCATACGTGCATGCTACGAGACTTGCCAACTTCAACACAAGTATTTATCAATTTCATAATTACCCAACTAGCATGACTCTAACAATACCACCTTTACATCTCAAAACAATTATCAAGCATCAAATTGATCATAGTGTTTAATGCACTTTCTATGATAGTTTTTATTATACCCAACTTGGATGCCCATCATTCTAGGACCAATTTTATAACCATATCAAATACCATGCTGTTCTAAAAGACTCTCAAAATAATATAAGTGAAGCATGAGAGACCAACAATTTCTTCAAAATTAAGCCACCACCATGCTCTAAAAGATATAAGTGAAGCACTAGAGCAAAACTTGTCTAGCTCAAAAGATATAAGTGAAGCACATAGAGTATTCTAATAAATTCCGAATCATGTGTGTGTCTCTCAAAAGGTGTGTACAGCAAGGATGATTGTGGTAAACTAAAAAGCAAAGACTCATATCATACAAGATGCTCCAAGCAAAACACATATCATGTGGCGAATAAAAAAATAGCTCCAAGTAAAGTTACTGATAGACGAAGCCGAAAGAGGGGATGCCTTCCGGGGCATCCCCAAGCTTAGGCTTTTGGTTGTCCTTGAATATCTTGCGGTGCCATGGGCATCCCCAAGCTTAGGTTCTTACCACTCCTTATTCCATAGTCCATCAAATCCTTACCCAAAACTTGAAAACTTCACAACACAAAACTCAACAGGAAATCTCATAAGCTCCGTTAGTGCAAGAAAGAAAAACCACCACATAAGGTACTGTAATGAACTCATTCTTTATTTATATTGGTGTTAAACCTACTGTATTCCAACCTCTCTATGGTTCATACCCCCCGATACTAGCCATAGATGCATCAAAATAAGCAAACAACACACGAAAAACAGAATCTGTCAAAAACA